TTCCAGTGAGGGTCTCAGTGATTTTGACCAACCTGGTATAAACTGCATATCCAACCACATGTAGGTGGAGTATCTTCTGCGCTCCTGCCTTCCCATAAAAAAGGGTAGCTAACCTCACAAATGGAGGCCAAGTTTACCAATCTGGTCTCTTGCAAGGCTGCAACACTTGCGTTAGTTTTTGCAGCTCTTGATCAATCAATGAGGCCTTCTGGACCTGTCCATCATCTGTAAATTGTTATTCATCCCAGGACACATGTCCTGACGGTCCAGCTTCCCAGCTGGTAGGTTTTAAGATTTCTTTTCTTGCTGCCTGGTACTTGATTTGCAGTCTGTTTACCAACTTTTGGTCTATCCCAGTGGCAGGCAAAATCCGGCCTGCAGGCCAGATCTGGCCAGCAGTGGTTTCCATTTCCCAGCAGCCCCTGCCCACATGGCTGGGGCCGGTTTCCATGGAGACCCCAGCAGCAGCTGCCTTGTGAAAGTACAGGGCTAGGGTTTCCATGGAGACCAGCCCCAGCAGCACTGGCAGGCAGCAGCACCCCCAGCCTCTTCCTGGTGGGGGGCTCTGTTGCAGGCTGCAGTGGGGTGGGTTCAGCTGCTGCTGCCTGTGTGGGGTGGGCAACAGTGGCAGCACTGCTGGGACAGGTGGCTATGGGGAATTTTGGAGTGGCTACAGCCTCCCACAAGCACCGCCCTTGCTGGCAGGGCACACAGCAGGGCAGGGAGCTGCTCCAAAGCCTTGCAGCAGTGATAGTGTGATCCAGAGCCAAGGCAGAGCTGTGATCTGCAGCCTGCATACTCCGGGCAGGGGCATGCAGGAAGCGGATTTCAGCTCTGTCCTGGCTCTGAACCACACTATCACCGCTGCAAGGATCCAGGGCAGAGCCGCGATCCGCTGCCTGCACGTCCCTACCTGAGGCATGCAAGCTGCAGATCGCTGATCTGCCCTGGCTCTGGACTACAACGTCATCATCACAAAATCCCAGCCCAGCTCCGAAGCAGCTTCACACCCTGCCACGTGCCCTGCCAGCACTGCTGGGGCCCATCTCCATGAAAACCCTGGCCTCGCACTATCATAGCACAGCTGCTACTGGGGTCTCCATGGAAACTGGACCCAGCCACACAGGCAGGGGTTGCTGGGAAATGGAGTCCAGCTGCCAGCTGGATCCACCATTCTGCCCACCCCACGCACAAAGTGAGGCAGGCACACCATGGCAGGTCAGCAATTTACTGGATGGGGACTGGCCAACTTAAGGCGGGCGGTAGCTGACCAGTGGAACTCTACACCATTTTACTCTATGCCAGCTGAGTTGAATTTATAACCCATGACTGCCTTACCTCTCCTCACCACCCTCCATTGTTACCTCTCCAACTTTATTCCTGATTTGGATTCTCAGAACTAATATTTGCCTGTGACTTGTAGTTCACTAACCTCCCTCCCCCTCAATCACTGGCCTAGTCACACAGCATTTTTGCTTTAGGATTCAGAAGCTACAGATTGCAAACATCACAAAGGATTAAATAAGAGAAACCAGCTGGGCAGTGGGAATCTTGTGGGGCAGGAGAGGGATCATTGGCACACAGCATACAATCATGGATGCCATTTCCCCCTCTCCCAAGCTTGTTCCAAAGCACATCCAAAATTTCCTGCATGTCATGGCTGAGTGAGACTCCATGATCTAGGCCCTAAAAATATTCATGTGCCTGGTAGCTCCCAAGCTCACTCAAAGGAAAAGCAGCATCTTGATTCAGTCAAAGAAGCCAGGATGCCTTAACACTGAGGTACTAATGACTGTATAAAATTACATTATGGAGAACGATATCAGGGTCTGCTTCCAAAGCAGAGGGAAGTCAGGGTCAACGTAGACAGGTTTCTCTGTTGGTCCTGCAACAGCTCCATATCTACCCACTGCCTGGGATCTAGATTATATGTAAACTCTAAAAAAGCACAACAAACTAGAAAAAATTAGTCAAAATAGTCAAAAGGTCAATATCTGTCCTGCAGTCATTACAGTTAAATGTAGGTCTCTTATTCAGATTCATAAAACAAAATCTAACCTTTTTGAACATCTTGACAGTGCCCCCAATCCTTTACTTTCAGTCATTTCTATACCAGGGTTAACATTACCAGACCTGAGTTAACATTTGTTGATGGAGCTAAAAACAGTCTGCAGGGCTATGAAATAGAAAAAAGACATTACCAGGAGTGGCTAACAGACAGCAAAAATGTAGAAGGATTTTTTGAATAGCAGAAAGTCAAGACCATTAATAAGAAGGAAGGTTCCTTAACAGCTGTGGAGTGGAGAGATTGGCAGGAGGTGACAATGAGCCACAAAATCAACAGACTCCCTCGCTGCTGCCTGAATAGAAATACTACTGCCTCTCCCAGGCAATTCATTTTAAAGATGGGGTGGAACAGGAATCAAAGGGGGGGAGGAAGGGGTCCAGCTGCACCACTGCAGCTCCCCTGAATCTGCCCCTGTTCGGGTGTACTCAGTGAGTCGTATTTAGTAGGCAGCATACCCTCTTATACTAATAAATATACTGGTTACCGTGCAAGTGAGTCTTGCTCCCTATCCTGTTGATCAGACAGTTCAGGGTCTGAGACATTCAGGGGTGTAATCCAGTAGTTCAGTAGTTTAGTAATCCAATAGTCCAATGACCCTTTGTTCCCCAACTGTTTTTATACCTTTTGTTTTCTACATATTATTTTTACCATTATTCTTACTACTACTGGCTACTTACAGACTTATATAATTGATTTCTTACTATTGGGCATTTTCCTAAAACCTTATATACATAAGCACACCCACACCAGGCATACCCGCAAGGGGGGGGGAGGGGGGTGCACTGGGACAGCTGCACCCCCCTCCCCTCGGATTCCTGCTCCATCCAGAATTTAAAAGCAACTGCCTGGCAGTGGCAACAGTATTTCTAGCTAGGTAGTAGTGAGGGAGTCAACTGACTTCATAGCTCTTTAAAATATACCTGATCCCAGCTAAACTCTTCATCCCATGGGTGTTAATGGTCTTGATGTTCCACCCACCACATGAACCTTTCTTCTGCAGTTCTGCTGTCTGCTCTCTGCTCCTGGTGACAAAGCTCCTATTTCACAGCCTTAAAGACTGGTTTTAACTCATCCCAATGAAGTTCTACTTGTTTCTGCATCAATCTCAAACCGCATAATACAGCCCTAGGCCCCTGGCTTACTACTAAAGCTACAGGTTTCCCTCGCGTTACACAGGTTCTGTATGTGTGAATTTGCTCTTATGCAATGACCCTTTTTATACCAAAAAATTGTTATATGCAAGGTAAATTCACTCTTATGCAATCGGTGTAGTGGAAGTCCACAGTCAGCTGCTTTGTGCGGTGCATTGTGGGAGTAACACCATAGACAGAGGAAGAAAAAAAATTAGGGGGGGGAAGGTGCTGAGCTGGGTGATGGTGCTCTGGCCAGGCTGCAGCGCCAGCTGCTGCAGCCCGGCCCAAGTCCATCAGTACAGCACCCAGGGAGCTGTGAGCCACGAAGGCACTCTACAACAGCATCCGCAGCCACCACTTAGGGCAGCTGGTACCCGTGCTTCTGGAGCTGCGGCTGCCCCGGGAGTGGTGCAACGCCATGACAGTACAGTCAAGGGGGTCAGTACAGTCAAGGTCTTAGAAGGTATCCCTATTTGTTACATTGCAAAGTGGGTTCCCTTTACGCAAAGTTGAGTTATGTGCCATTTTCCAGGAACGCATGTACAGCAGAAAGCAAGGGAAACCTGTATTTCTTTTCATTTGGAGAAAACAACATGTTATGTGTGACAGCTGAAAAGTGTGCCTGTGTGATAAAGGTGGTTGCTGAAGGCTCTATGAAGATTAGACCAAGTGTTTTTCTGTATTTGTTTAGATATTAAGCTATATGTTGCTGCTAAAAGCCTAATTAAAGTCTAAGATGTAGTGAGGCCTTGTATAAAGTAAGGCCTAGTAAATTTAGCAAAGCCTTGAAGTAGTAAGGCCCTGTGGCGTAGTTAAAATGACCTTATCAAAGGAATGCAAGGCTTGTACTGCTAATTGGTCAGTCTAAGGACAGTTGAAGTAAAAGGAATCTGAGTGGTTATACGTTATCAAAACCATTCAGAAGCTATAAATTAGCTGGAATATCTGGAAACCATTCAGAAGGAAGATACAGCTCTTTGAAAAACATTAGTTAGCTGTTACCTGGATCAGTGGGCCCGTGGACCTTGAGGAGCCCAAGGACTGCATTCCATGGTCCTTCCCGGTACCCTTCGGCCAGTGCCGTTAAGGGACGCCTGGACCGCTGAACTTCGTGGAAAGAGAAGCTTGCTGTGTATCAGGCATCAGAGGGGACTGCTGATAAGTTGCCAAGGCGAATTGCTTTTGTCTGCCATTGTTTGTTTTGTTACTCCGCATAGTTGTTTTTGTTAAGTCAATAAATCTTTCTTACCTTTCTACCCCCGACCATACTCTCAATCTCGAACCCTCTGCAGGTGGCTAGGACATTATGTTGTGTGTGATGATGCACCTCACCATGTGCCCTCCCACCCCCTTTCCAAAATCCTAGTACTACCCATGCCCATGGGCAGATCTAGAATTTTGAAGGGGGG